CTGCTGATTCCACTGCCACAGTCCTTCCTGTTCCTTCGGTGACAGCCACAGGAGCTCCGTGAAGGCCGTGTTCTCACCAGAGCTGGCACAGGTAATGAAGCCGGCAACTCGCACACTCAGAAGCCACTCATGAAACCAGAGCAAGGGTCAGCCAGGACAGAGGCGGCAGGAAAACACAGGCTCAGCCCACAGGCAGGGACTCAGGACCTGCCTGACCCAGAGTTCATTCAACTGCAGGGAAACTCAGCAAGACACCAGGAACACAGAGAGCCAGCGCAGCAGGAAGCGGTCCATGCCCCAAAGGAGGGATTCCGGAGAGAGAGATCACTAAAAAGAGTCACATGAATCCCAGAGCTGAAAATCACAATATGCAGACTAAAAATGCTGCGGAGCCCCAACAACAGGCACGTCAAGTGGGACAGGCATTTCTGAACCCGAAGACAGGTCCTTTGAGGTAACCCAAACAAATAGAATTAAACAGAATTAATGAAGCCTGAAAAAACTCTAGAGCACTATTAAACAAACAAATATTTGAATTATGGGTATTCCAGAAGGAGTTGAGGAGAAGGCATAGAAAAGATTCAACAAAATAGTAAGTAAAATGTTCCCCAATTTGGGGAAAATGTGGACATCTAGATCCATGCATCTCAAAGGACTCAAAATAAATTTGACTAAATAAAGGTCTTTTATGCGGCAGAATACAGTCAAACCATGAAAAGTACGAGACAGATAATTCTACAGTCAGAAAGAGAGAGCATCAGGTCCTATCTAGGGAAACCTCATTAGCCTCAGAGCAGACTTCTCTCTCTGCACAGGCCAGGAGAGAATGGGGTGGCACATTCCACACCCCAAAAGAAAACAGAACCCAAACTGAAGACTGTCTGCCACGGCTTGGACATCACACAGCTTCTCCTATGTGAGAAACCCAAAATATAAATAATTTAAAGTGCAAAATAAAAGAGAAAATCAGAAAGAATCTGCCAACCAAGGGCACTATATCCAGGAAAGCTAGTTTTCCAAAGCGAAGGGAAGCAGCCTTTCTAAGACATGCAAGCCTGAGGGAACTGCTGCCCTGCCACAAATCTGCTCATGAGAATCTCTTGTCCGGACGTGGGAGGGCTACAGAGATCATCGTGCGAACACGCGAGTGCAAACCCGTGAGCAAAGCAGATGAAGAACTGGATCAGAATTTTAATACAGAGAGAACCCCACACAATACAAGCAAACAAGCGGGGAAAGGACATAGAGAACAGATAAACAAAACATGACAGCAGCGAATCTCACAGGCCGTCTCCCACCTGAGCTACCATGGCTTCTAGATGTGGCAAAAGCGACCCCTCCCGGCTGCCTGGGAAAGGGAGGTGGACCGGGCAGTCCCCTGAGGGCTGGCGAGGGTCATCCTATGTCAGACACCAGGGGCAGGATAGCCAGGGACAGGGTGGAAGGGCACGGGGCGCAGGCGAATGCCCTCCCTGGAGGCCCCCAGGCCAGGCCGCACCGAGTCCCTGCCCACTGTCCCACCAAAGGCATCGGATACGTGGTCTTGGGCAGTTTGTTTGGCAATGCAGAAAACACAGAACAAGAGCTTGGGGAGGAATAATATGGGCCAGGACCTCTTCTGGGTCTGTGCACAATGTTTGACTTACAATCTTCTTCGGTGTTAACTCCATGCTCAGTTCAGGCTGAAGGTGGAAGTGAACCGCCATCCTCTGTTCATGCAGAGCTCCAGTTTTTGGAGAGAAAATGAACGGAGATCCTGAACATTTACATCTCCCTCCCTGCTCTTCTAACTCTTACACCAGCACCTACAGACAAATCCATTTAGTTCCCTGAACTAAAGTGCAGTTCTGAAGTCAAAGCAGGCTGGTGAGGAGCCGGCAATCTGCATCTTTCCATCAGGAAGTGTAAGTGGTCAGCAGGGGGCTCCTTTGGTGACTTGTGCCCTGTGGTGCTGTGGTCTCACGAGGCCCCCACCGTAAGCCAGGCGACCGCTGGGGACAATGAGGATGGAAGGTGGCACTGCTGCCTTGCTGGGGTGGAGGGGAGTGGAGTTTGCTGCTGGAGGGGAGGGCCCTCGTGGACAACGGTTCTGGGGTGCTTCTGGGGGCCCCCAACCTACCCAGCCTGAGGCCAGGGCCCTGTCTGGCTGTGGGATGATGGTGTGCAGATTAACTTCGCAGGATGCGTGATCCCAGAGGGCAGTGAGGCTGGCTGCAGTGAGGACGGGCTGGTCACGAGCTGGTCGCAGGGGAGGCGGCCGCCGTGACCGTCCTCCCTGCTGCTCACACATTATGTGCTTAGTACAGGGGATTCACTTGAATGCTTCCCTTCCACTGAGCCACATCTTTTCACGGTACCAGATCACAGTTTGTCAGTTTCGTCTTTCATGGTGCTCCCAACAGACATGATGTTCGGAAGCCCGCAAAATGACTACACTGAGACCGCAGCTCGTCTGACCCCTCATGGATGCTGGCTCTTGGTGCCCTCAGGTCCAGCAGAGCAGGGGCCCCGCAGAGATGGGGTGCTTGACGAGGCTTCCGATGCCCTCCAAGGCCAGCTGAGAGCAATGACTGAGACCAACATAGCACAGCAGGAGCCATGGGCAGGGTCCAAGCACAGCAGCACTGGGGACCTTCTGAGACAGAGGGCTGAGGGGCATCTGCAGGGACACTGGATGGAGTCCAGGCCACGGGTCGTGGGCCAGCACTCTGCTGCCAAACCTAAGGCGTTCAAAATGTAAAATAGTCCAAAGGTGGAGATGGGAGAGGGGCAGAGGGGAAGAGACTCAGAGCAGCAGCCCATGACGGCCCCTCCTCCGCACCCTGACACAGATAACCCGCTGGAAAGAAGGCTTCGCCTTGGCAATCTGTGCAGTAACTCAGTTTTGAACATACTGAAGAATTACGGTTCAGTTGTGCGATCGGTATTGTGCTGTGTCAGGAGTCCTGTCCGTCAGTGGATCTTTCAGGAATGAGAGTGCGAATGGAGGTGTTCAGAGACACAACTATGTATTCTGGGGGGCTGGGGGCCTGGGGAGGAGCAGGTGGAGCAAGACGGACCTGCTCCACGGCCTCTGATGGCGGGACAAGCACGGGCTCCTTGTGTGACGTTCACTCTCCCGGGCCAGTGGAATTTCTCATAGCTGAACACTTATGTGGGCTGTCTGGGGGCCTGAGCTGCCCAGGCAGGGCTGCACTGGGAGCCACGGGGCAGCGGGCGGCACGGGCCAGGCAGCCCAGGGAAATGCCAGGGTGGCAGCATTGTCCTAATGTGTTCACCAGACACCAAAGCAGACCTCTCCCAGGTAAACAGAAGAGGCAAGATAATGACACAGTGGGAGTACGTTCACTGTGTCCCTTTAGCTAAGGAGAGATAAATCTTCACATGCATGAGGATGTTAAAGTTTGCCAACTACAAGTGAAGTTCAAGCAGCTTCCCTGCTATCAAAATAGTGTTTTATGCAACTGGCAATTTGTGTCTGAATAAATCTGTCTCCACCTGTGATGTAGTTAGCATCACTTTCAGAACTGGCCCAAGATCCGGGTCAAGGTGCAGGAGGAGCGGGCTGGGCAGGGTCTGCACCACGGGCTCTGCGCCAGTCCACAGCTGTCTCTGTTCTGATAATTGGTCACCTGGCGGCTCAGTGGGCATCTAGCACCATTACCAATGCTTCCTGGATGATTTCTCCAGACCAACGGGGCCATGGCACCTGCTCCCAGGCAAGCCGGAGAGATGCGTGGAGGCGAGGCCACCTAATACAGTATGAGTGTTCAGGAAGCCCGAGAGAGACTCACTGGTCTTGCTAGCAGGCACCACGGCCTGCAGCAGGAGCTGCAGCAGGTCCTCTGCCATGGCATGGTGGGCGGGCAGGCACTGATATAGCCAGAGCTTCCTGGCATCCCTGGTGATGGGTAACAGCATGATGAGGAGGTGGAGAGGGAGCTGTGTAAATGCAGGGATCCACAGTGTGACGACTCCTGGCAGCCACTGTCTGTCATCCATCTTGTTCTTGGCAAATTCATCTCAGCCCCACCCGAGAGAAACAGATTTCCTGTACCACGGGGTCAAAGGCACTGCCAGCTTGGCTGCAGCTCAGGAGACAGGCAAGCCCACACCACTGGCAGCTTCAGAGGCCCACATGCCACAAGGCCAGTGTATCTCTGGGCCTCCAGGAGTGGCCCATCGTGTTTACAGTGATGTCCAGTGAAAGTAAGTCCTGAGAGGCCCGACGGCCAACGTTAGTCTCTGTGGCTTCCTACCAAGCTGCCTGAGATCACTGAGCGCTATTCACAGGAAAGTGAAGCAACCTCAGGGTCGGTCCACCAGTGTGTGAGTGATAGGACGAGGTGGTGTTTGGACACACGGGATAGTCCTCTGCCTCAAAAGTGATGGAAACCCTGCCATGTGCAGCAACATGGCAGAACACGGAGGACACTGTGCAAGACCCACAAGTTTGGCACACAGTCCCACTCCTGGGAATGCTAAAGCACTGGGGCTCACAAAGCAGAGCAGGGGAGGGTGGGGAGACGTCGGTCAAAGGTCACAAACCTCCTCAACTGGAGGGAAAATCTCAGGGACCTATTTACAACACGGTGACAACAGTGAATGACCACGTGTTACACACTTCAAAGTTACAGGAGGGAGGCTACGGGTTACAATAAAACATGTTCCAAAACAACCAGAAAAGGGATCGAAAGTTCCCTAAAAATAACTACTGTTGGAGGAGGCTGAGTGGCCGTCACTCTGCTCTGATCAGTACCCATCACAGCGATGTGTCACGTGATCACTCCACGCCCCACACACTGGGAGAGGCCTGGAGTGTCCTGGCACAAACACGCAAGGGTGAGAGGCAAAGTGCAGGCTAGTGAGCTTGACTCCAGCTCCTACAGCACACAGGCGCCTCAGCATCGCTCCGCACGCCAGTGTACTGCCTTCCCCGCCAGGCGAAGGTGATAACCGCTGTGACCCGTGCACACGGGCCACCCAGCAGGGTGCCTTACCTGGAGGTAGTGGCACGGCCGTGGGGCGGGCTTCACCTCCGGGTGGGCCAGCGGCTTGTCCAGGTGCAGCGAGCTCTTGCGGTAGGCCTCCTTGGCCTGGCTCACCGTGAGTGTGGACCAGGAGCTGCGCTTCATGTACTTGGCGTCGGGCGTCAGCGCCAGGCCCTCACAGGCCGAGCACTTGACGTCGCTGTTGCTCTTGGAGGTCTTCAGGGACAGGTCCCCGAAGGGGCTGGGCAGGGCCTCAGGGTAGCAGTGGGCAAGGTGGTCCATGTGGTGCCGGGTGGACATGCTGGGCGTGCGGAACGTGCTGTCGCTGTCCAGGTTGTCGTCTGAGCTCCACCAGCTGCTCATGCTCGACTTGTGCTTGCCCTCAGGCTTGCGCTCCTTGCTCTTGCTCCGCTTGCTGTGCTTGGAGTGGTGGCCATGGTGGTGGTCGTCGCCCCGGCTGTCGCCCTTGGTCCCGTTGACGTTGCTCTTGGAGGAGCCCTCCAGTGAGTGCGACTTGGTGAAGAGCTTCTGTACGGAGTGCACCAGATGCCGGATCCGGCCCGGGCTCTCGCTGCGCTGCTCGGGTGCGGCCGAGGCTCTCTGGTACTGCAGCGTGTGGAAGCCGTCCCTGTGCAAGGGCAGCTGCTTCTCGAACTGGTCCAAGAGGTTGGCAGGGATGCGGTTGACCTTCGTGCTGGCGTGCGACATGGTGCAGTCATCCCTCGCGTCGTAGTGGGAGCTGTAGTGCATCCTGGGAAAGGTGCTGCTGGACACATGGTCTCCCAGAACCACGGGCATCATCACACACTCCGAGTGCACGGAGCTCCTGGGTGAGCAGCGGTGGTGGTCCAGCGGGCAGCTCTCGGCTGGGCTGAGCAGGTAGGGCTGCCGCATGTCCTGCCCATGGCGCAGGTGGTCCTGGGGGTGCTCGCAGTCGTCCGGGGGCGTTAAACCACACGTGTGACCAGTGCACAACGGTGGTTGGTTTCGACCTGCGGATAAGCCTTTCATGTTCCTAGGGACAGGAGAGTATCTTTCCTCATTGAAGTGCTGCGTTGGGGACCATGAGTACTGCTGGTCTGTTGGAAAAACAAAAATGTCACTTAGTACCTCGCGGCCATACTGATGGGAGCCCCATGTTGGAGCAGCAACACATGCAGCTCCCCCGCCATAGGAGCCACTTTTTCTAGCCACAGTGCCCATTGGTGCTCTGGGCATTCAGGGGACCCCTAGTGCTCAGTGTGGGAGCATTGAGGAAATATTGTCCTCAAAGGATGTTCATGAGGGGTGATCAAAAAGCACAGGAATGTTCAAATAAAACAAAACTGTTGCAGTAAAAGACACATTCCCAATGAAGCCCCCTCACTTTGAGCACACTTATCCCATCATCCTTACCACTTCCTGCAGCAGGTCTGGAGTCCCCTTTCCTGAGTGTTTCTAGTTGCGCTGTCCTGGCTGACTTGATGTCCTGAATTGATTTAAAACATTTCCCTTTCACAGTCATTTAGACTTTGGGGAAGAGAGAGAATCACCTGGTGCCACACCCAGTGAATGAGGTGGATGAAGACACAGCCTTTACCAGCCTGCCTTTCCTTTGGATGGTGCTCAGCAGCAGAGTTCATTGCATTTTTTATCCCACCTCATAAAGACACTCAAGAAAGACTTCCAGAACTGCTCCAGAAAGTGCGAGAACCATGGGATGTGTTCAGTGTGAGGCAGAGCATCATGAGGGGGATTAAGAGCAGTGTCTTTCACTGCAACAATTTTTTATTTAAACATTTACCATATAGTTTGATTGCTCCCTTTACAATGGCAAATATTTAACATCTCAAATTCGTTAGGTCTTTCAACAGATTCTGAGGTACTAATAAAACATTTTTTGGGGGAAACTTAGCTATATTTCCATTAGATTTGAGTATTTTGATTCAGCTTAAGAAATCTGAAAATTAACATTTAGTATTTAATTAGTATTACCACTTGGTAAGCTAACATGTCTTACATGTGTGCCTTAACCACAAAATCATTCAATGCCACCTGTTCCCCTGGAGGTGAGCAGTGCATGTGGCTTCCTCAATCCATCTGCCCATGTGGGGACCACCATGCTGCCTGCCACACTCGCCAAGGACAGACCTGGCTCTTCTGGGGATGTGGCTGGAGATGCAGACCCTTCCTCACCCCATGTAGGCTGTGCTCCACTGCTGTATCTCAGTTTCTTCCCCTGCTTTCCCCTCAGAATGAGTGTCCTGAGGGTCTCCTGCCCCTTGGCCTCCAGTAGAAGGGATGCTCTGCCCTGGGATGGATCTAGGGAGGATTCTCAGGGTGCCCTCCATGTTACGAGTTTGTTCGCACACCTAAGAGTCCACTTTGTGGAGACCAAGAGGTCTGACACGAGGCACAAGGCACTTGGGTGATCCAGCTTCAGGAGTGGACATCAGTAGCTGTGCTGCAGCCCAATGCCCAGCCCAAGGGTGGACCACCAGAGCAGCAACCAGCTCTGCCTCATTAGGGGTGTGGCTCTGGAGTCTCTGAGTCCACACTGTGACCCCTATGTGATGGGACTTAGTTTGATGGAGAGCCAGGGCCCTGGGCTGAGGGACAATTAGCGTTTATTGGCTTTATCATCATCGCTGTAACTGTTCCTACTTGACACTCACTTGAGTTGTTATTTGTAAAGTTCAGGGTTTATGAAACCTAAAGAACTGGATCCTGGGATTTGCTGCACATCCCTAGCTCTGGGCTGTATCCTGCTGTCCCTGCCTCCGTGTTAGTCCCAGGGCAACACTTGGCTCCCACTGGGGCCAAAAAGGCAAGAAATGAAGTCTCCTTTTTCCCTCAGGCGAATGGGTGGAGAGGAAGCACAGAGCCAGGGGCTTTAAACAGTGGGCTCCTCAGGACCTGGGCCCCGGGACAGTGGGCTTTTCAAGACCTGGACTCTAGTACTGTGGGCTCCTCAGGACTTGGGCCCTAGGACTATGGCTCCCTGAGCACCTGGGCTTTGGGACAGAGGGCTGCCTGAGGACAAGGGCTCTGGGATGGCTGGCTCCCTGAGGCCTGGGCTTCTCTGTGTTTTATCTGTGTGCCAACCCTGGCATAGGCCAGATCCAGACCAGGCTCCCACAGTAAATAAGGCTGCATGGGCTGCCTGGACTCATTTGCCTCACACTCAGGTTCCTGTGGGGCTCCATGTTCTGGCCACTCTGTCTTTCCACAATGCATCCCAGGCTGGCAGGCTTTCTCAGTGCTGGTTTTCTAAGCACTCTGCACACTGCCACTTGCTGCATTTGTCATCAGAGCTCAGGGCTGAAAGGGACAGCAGAGACCAGGTTAGGGCTGGCTCCTCCCCAGCCACCACCCACTGGGATTAGGTCATGGACTCTTCCTGCCTCGAGGCTCTTGCCCCGGGTCTCCCTCCACAGCCTCCTATGGCCCCATCCCTGGCTGGGGATGATCCTGGGGCTGAAGTCACCTCAGAGCTTAGGGCCCCCAGTCTGAATCCCAGTGCATGGACCCAGGGGAGACAGAGACACAGGCTTTTCCCTGTGCCCAACCCCAGCTCCACAGTCACTGTGTGGCCAGGTGACCAGTGCAGGGCTAGGCCTCAAATGCCCCTTTCCAGGCTTTAGCACTACAAGGGCCTGGGACAGCTCAGACACAAAAACCTGTGACAAGGACAGGCACAACTCTGTGGGTCCCTGGAGCCTGGCCGGAGGACTTGTCCAGGAGTGCCCAGGTAGAAGAGGACATCAGCACTCCTGGGGGGTCCTGGGCTCACAGAGGCCCCTCCTGCCTCTTCCCATGGCATTCAGGGTCTTTCTTCTTCAAAAGTCAAGTGTCACCACAGCACTTGATTGTGTTGGAGGCAATAATTAGAATATATTATACTTAATATAATTATGAACAAATTTCAGAGGAAATTCAATATTCACCTTTTAAATAGCAACACTACATCCTCTAGTCCAGACTCAACAGCCATACAAAGTTGTCATGCTTTTATCTTTTGCATTATTTCTCCATTAGCATGTAATTTAATAATTCTAATCTCCCTTCACAGCGAAGAGCAAGCCCATTATCGCTCCCCTCATACGTCCCACTCTTGCTAACACTTAGCCTGCATTATGAATGAGGCTGTGGAAAAGCACAGTACTCAGAGATGGCGAACCTTTTAGAGCTTTCCGCGCTACAAACAGCCTGCTGCAGCACAGGTGACACAGGTTCGCCACCACTGGTGTAGGTATTAAAAATTTAACAAAATGAATTAAATTTAATAATGCATCATGTTGACAATGCATCTCATTCTTACTGTGTAGGATGCATTTCCTGGTTATGTGTAGAAATTTCTACGTTCTCTCATAAAATTATCACCGTGACAACAGACACGCTAACAAGGTACCAAAACAAGTAGCAGTACTGAAAAGTGTAACGAGGACTTGGACTATCAGTTTTTTAAAAATAAGTATGTACAGATATACTAAATACTTAGGGACTGATAATTTCTCTTTGTGAAAATGAGGTAACAAAACAAAATGTGGAAGACATCTTAGTTTCTTAATTTCCAGTTGTTCACAACCCTTTTGTCATTGCGACAAAGCAATCACAGGTGCTGCTCATCGGTGTACAACCATCTCCCCGGGCTCAGGCAGGATGTGAATGTGTGGCTCACTGCAGGACCCGGATGCTCTGCCCCTTCCTTTTAATTTACCTGTCTTAGTACCTGCTCTGTCAGCAGCTCGTGAGGCAGGAAGAAGGGTAACAACAGGCAATGCACTGTTTTCGTGTCTTCCTAGCTGCCTGCCGACCCTCGGCTGGCCCTTCAAGCACACAGTGCTACCTCGTCACAGGGTGGGTGGAGAACGGGTTGGAGGTGGAGTTAGGGCAACTTTCCCAAACTGCAGACACAGCGGACACTTCCTGGGAAACAGCTGCACCCATGGGAGACCATGGGGTTGGCCCGGGCTACTCTCTTCAGGTGCCCTCCCTGTGCCACCTGCCTTTCTCTGTCCCCAGGGCACCTACCCAGTGACCTTCTTGGAGGCTCCTGGGCTCTTTAGCCCCTGGTACACAGGACACAGCAGCACACACAGGCCTGGGGGCTCATGGGAAGCCCATCCTGCACCATCCTGGGCAGAAGAAGTACAAGGGCTGGAAACTGGCAGTTGTGAACACTGCTGGGAGGCTGAGGCAGGAAGATCCCAAGTTTGAGCTTAACTTGGGTAGCAATAACTTAGCAAAACCCCATCTCAAAGTAAAAAATAAAGAAAGGGTGGGGATAGAGCTGTGCGCAGAGGCTCTGGGTTCAGCCCCAGTACTGAAACAACAAAAACAAAAACCGACAAACCTTTAGCCAGACTGAAAAGAAAGACTGACTTCTGAAGTCAGAAATTAACACGCAACAGGACTGTAAGAGACTACAGTGAACAACAGCGTGCTGACACACCAGGCCGCACAGAGACAGAGAATTCACAGAGACACACAAATCACTTCAAGAACAAATACAAAACCTTGGCAGGCCAAATAACAAAGAGATTAAACCAACAACCAAAGGTCTCTCAACAAAGGAAGCCCAGGCCCTGAGGGCCTCACTCATGGACCCTACCTCAGCTGAATAGGAATTAACACCAGTACTTGAGAGACTGTTCCAGAAACTGAAGGGAGGGGGCTTTTCAGCACTTCTGTCAGGGCCAGCATCACCTTGATGTCGTAGAAGCCTGCGGGGGAGAGGCTGAGGGCTCCGCTGCAGGGCCCCTGCACAGATCTGGGTGACATCGCCGGGGACAGTGGTGCAGGTGCCTGAGTGGTAGCCAGCATATCCCTCAGTGCCACCCACATCACACACGGATGCTCAGTGCAGACCTGTGGGGAGCTTCCATCATGGGCCTTTCATGGCCCTAGTGACAGGGCTGGGCGCTGGACCAGCCCAGAAGACGCCTGTCCTCCTCGCTGCTGCCGCTGGCTCTACGCAGAAGCTGATTCTCTCTTGGCTCCTGTTGATAGGCTCGTTTTTATGTCGGCCCTTGCCGGGCGTGGGCTGTGCAGGTGACTGTCCCCACAAGGGTTTTGCGCCTGAGGCCTCACCTGTGTG